GAGTCAACAGTGAGAAACTCGTGTATTGGGATGCAAGGACTAACAACACACCTGGAGTCAACAGTGAGAAACTGAGGACCCAGGTCTAAACTAGCCTACTTATATACTACTGGAACAATAGAGACAGTAGCAACAATAAGAACAATAAGAACAATAGAACAATAAGACAAGCACCACGGTCAAACAACAGAGCATAAGCCTGCAGGAGAATGGTGGAAAGCTCAACCCGCTTATCGAGAGCCTGCTCCAGCTGTTCCAAGCGATGACGAGGACAGCAGCGATGATGAACTACTCCTTCAGCCAGGGAGTGTTCTCATTGTTGCACATGAAGGCAATCCAAAGAGTTCTACACTTCAAGCAGCAAACATTGCAGCAGTGCAGTCAGCTCAAGCTGCTGTTCACTCTGGCAATCCTCGCACTTATCACGAGGCACTGCAACGAGAAGATGCTCACCTTTGGGAAGAAGCTGCAATCTCCGAGATAAACTCTCTTCTACTGCCATGAACTCCTTAAAGGATTCTAGACCCAAAGGCTTTAGCATAGATCAAGCTGATGCAGAGCTCCATGCAGTGTTCCTGCTTATGACCCTTCCTGATGAGAGTGGTTACAGCTCTCTCCAGGCTCCTTTCGAGATGTCTACTGGCACTCTCAGTCCCAGTGAAGTCGAGACAGCCTATGCAATCTATCAGGTGTTCAAGACTGCTGGGCAGGAAGGAGACTCCACTGAGAGAAATCCTCTCTCTGGAGCAGCCATGGCCACTGTATCCAGTGTCCCCACACCCTCTGCTGCACTGGCAGTTGCACCTCCAGTCACATGTACTGGATGCCTTCAAACTGGCCATGTCCTCCTTAAATGCAAGGAGTTCCACAATCTCATCAGGAACATTGCAAATAACAAGGGGAAAGCCAAAGGCAATGGTGCAGATGCAAAGTCCCAAGTGGCTTCAAATGCAAGTCTTCTCTCCCACTTTGCATTCTCTGTTGTTGACTTTCAAAAACACCCGCTACTACAGGGTTGCCATCGAAGTTGCCAACGGAGTTGTAGTCTATTCTGAACTAGTGGGGGACATAGAGTTGAAGCCACTTATACACGGACACCGGCTTTGATTTATCCGTATTCTGACTGACGGTCCCTGCCGTGCAGTTCACTAAAATCAACAAAGTGATGCGCCACATTGTTAGAATCAGGCAAGCACAGTGGTCTGAGTCAACAGTGAGAAACTCGAATTGAAGAGAGATACAAGACAACTAACCTGAGTCAACAGTGAGAAACTGGGGACTCAGGCTCTACACTAAGCTACTTATATACACAATGACATGCACAGCCTCGAGGCTGTGTCTGTCACAATGCGCAGCCATGCACAGCAGTGCACAGCAGTAAGGCTGTGCACATGGATACTACAATGGAAACACCAGATCCATTAGGATACCAAGTGTTTCACATGTCTAAACTAAGTGTCCATGAAACAGAACAAGAGAATGAGAATGCTGGAAGTCCCACACTTCAACACTCCCCCTGAATGAGAGCAGTCTCATTGTCTCCCCCTTAATCCCATCATGTCTCGCAGTCGTTCCACTGCTGGCTTGGGCAGTGCTTTGGTCATGATGTCTGCAAGTTGATCCTCAGTTGGAACATACTTTACATCAATGACACCAGCTTCAACCTGTCCACGAAGCCAGTGGTGCGCAAGGTCAAGATGACGCATGCGGCCATGGTGCTCTGGATTCCGAGCAACAACAATGGCAGACTGATTGTCCATGAGAAGAGATGATGCACCAGTCAACCCATACTCTAGCTCTTGCAGCAAATGTCCCATCCATGCAATCTCTTTGCCTGCATCAACTCCTGCAACGTACTCTGCCTCTGTAGTGGACAGAGACACAGTTGTCTGCAGTTTACTTCTCGAGCTCACTGGTCCACCAGCCATCATCACGACGAAACCACCAGTGCTTTTCATGGTGTCTTTATCACCACCATGATCAGCATCAGTGTATGTGAAGAATAACTCGTCAGGGTCGATGTAGGTGGTGAACTTGTATAGGGAAGGAGATGTAGAAGTATGTGATGCGGTAATCAAGAGTGCCTTTGATGTAGCGGAACAAATGCTTCAGAGCACTGTAATGGGCTTCGCCAGGATTGCTGTTGAAGCGTGCAAGAACACCCACTGCATAGGAGATGTCTGGACGAGTCTGGATAGCCAAGTACATCAGAGAGCCCACAGCACTGATATAAGTGCCTTTGAGGTGTTTGGACTCGTCTTCAGACTTGGCTCCCATTGGTCAGGCTAAGACCAGGCAGCATAGGGTGGAAACAGGTTTGCAATCAGACATTCCATACTGCTCAAGCATGTTCACAGCATATTGGCGCTGTGAAATAGCAATGTCTCCAGTCTTAGAGTTGCGCTCAACCTTGATCCCAAGAAGCCACTCTGTGGGACCAAGATCCTTCACTCTGAATGCAGAGTTGAGTTCAGCAATAACTCGGTCAATATCAGCATCATGCTTGGAGGCAATGACACCATCATCGACGTAGATGGGGAGAATGATGCGAACAGCTCCATCTGAATAGACAAAGCATGAACAATCAGACTGGAGACACTTGAAGCCCATTTGTTGGAGCTTCTCTCGCAGCTTCTTGTGCCATTGCCTGCCAGCCTGCCTTTGCTGCCCAATCCTTCCACGGTTGTCATTCTTGACGAGGAGGATGACAGACCCAAACAGCGTCATGCACCAGCTCCTCCAGCATCCCCTGTGCCTTCCCACCCTCCATCCCCGCCTGGATCAAGGGCTCCTTCATCGCAATCTCCTTCAACATCACCTCCTGCTTCACCAACTCCAGCAGCTTCACCTGTTGGTGTTGCTGCACGTCGCCGCTTCCACAATCAAACTACGGAGCATAGACCTCCTGGAGAGTGGTGGAAAACACACAGGGACCCTCTGCCTGCTGTCCCTTCAGATTCAGAGTCATCTGATGATGAGTTGTTGTTACAGCCAGGCAGTGCTCTTGTTGTTTGTTGCACATGAAGGAGATCCAATGAGCGAAACACTTCAGCAAGCTAACATTGCAGCTGTGCAGTCAGCGCAAGCTGCTGTCCAGTCTGGTCATCCTCGCACTTACTATGAGGCAATGAAACACTCTGATGCTCATTTGTGGAAGGATGCAGCAGTCTCCGAGATTAACTCTCTTCTGGAGAACTGCACTTGGGATGTTGTTGATCCACCTCCTGGAGTGAAGCCTATTCGCTCTCAGTGGGTCTTTGTGATCAAACACAAGTCTGATGGGACCATTGAGCGCTACAAAGCCCGACTGGTTGCAGATGGTCGTGGACAGCGTTTTGGTGTTGACTACAACGAAATCTTCTCTCCCACCATCAAACCCGCCACTCTTCGCACCATCTTTGCTCTTGCTGCTCAGCATGATCTCCAGCTTCGTTCTATTGACTTCAGCTCTGCCTATCTCAATGGAGACCTCAATGAGAGTGTCTATATGACGCAACCTGAAGGGTTTCCCCAAGGCAGACCTGGCCAGCTCCTCAAACTGCGAAAGTCGCTTTATGGACTTAAGCAGGCAGGCAGGCAATGGCACAAGAAGCTGCGAGAGAAGCTCCAACAAATGGGCTTCAAGTGTCTCCAGTCTGATCGTTCATGCTTTGTCTATTCAGATGGAGCTGTTCGCATCATTCTCCCTATCTACGTTGATGATGGTGTCATTGCCTCCAAGTATGATGCTGATATTGACCGAGTTATTGCTGAACTTAGCTCTGCATTCAGAGTCAAGGATCTTGGTCCCACAGAGTGGCTTCTTGGGGTCAAGGTTGAGCGCAACTCGAAGACTGGAGACATTGCCATTTCCCAGCGCCAATATGCTGTGAACATGCTTGAGCAATATGGAATGTCTGATTGCATATAGCAGTGCACACAGCAGTAAGGCTGTGTGCATAGGAATAAGCAGACAGATATAACTGCTCAAGCATGATCACAGCATATTGGCACTGCGAAAGATGAATGTCTCCATTCGCAGAGTCACACTCAATCTTGATCCCCAGATCCTTGACTTTGAATAGTGGAATGGCGAACTTCCATTCAAAGTGATGCATCGCCCTGGCAGCCTGTTGTCCCCCTCCATGCAGGTTCATTTCTGCTGTGATTTTCCATCAGACACTTGGGCCTTCTCATACAATATGTCATCTCTGTGTACACGGCAAAGATTGAACTGGTGGAAGCTGAGCATGGAGTACAAGCCATTGTTGCAGGTTGGGTCTTAACACTTCTATTTCTCTGCCGGTTGTGCTGGCTTGGCATGTGGAAAGGATTGACAGGTGATGGCATCAAGTTTACCAGGCCAACCAATTACATACCCTAGCCAACACGTTGCCATGTCAACTCATACTCCTTTCTGAGTTCTCTCCGTCAATGCTCCCTTGCCTATGTCCTTCTCTCTTGTTGGTGGCAGCCAAACCATTCTTCCCGAATCTCATCACCCACAGAGGATATCTTTTGGCTATGTCATCTTCTAGACTCGGCTGCAAGGGCTTATGTGGTGCTAAGTATAATCTAGGGACATGAGGTAGCAGATCCATCAGATTAATATCCTATGTGAATGCCACTGCTTCTGTCAGGCTATGGCCTCCACTTAGTGTCTTTCTGGAGTGGAGATGAGTAAACATGCGTAGGGGTGGGAGGAGCATTGATCAACCTGCATCTCCACCATGTCATCTCAGTGATGAAGCCAGTCTAGGCATGGGATCCCAGTCAGCTGGATGTGTGAGGACAAGGCTCTTATGCCCCCTCGAAGCCACCATCTTTGTTGCCATTAGTGACACTCACTAAGCGACTGTTAGCAGAGTGTATGGAAGGAAGACAGAATGAGTGGCACAGGGTGTCAACTTGAAGAGTGCATAAAGGCAAACATCACACAAGACATCACATCACTTATTTCTTCCCACTCTCTTTACCAACCACTGTGGCTGCCAACACATAACCTGTTAAATGCAAAAGAATGGCTGAACTGGGATTCAAACCCAGGACCTCAGAGTTACTATCTGAAGCTCTCTAACCAACTGAACCATTCTGCTGATAGTGTGAAGGGAACTCCCAGAAGGACCTTCAACAAGGACTCTGCCATCTGCCTTTGTTGATCTTCCTACTTATGGCCCTTCCTGATGAGAGTGGTTACAACTCTCTCAAGGCACCTTTCGAGATGTCTACTGGCACTCTCAGTCCCAGTGAAGTCGAGACAGCCTATGCAAACTATCAGGTGTTCAAGACTGCTGGGCCTGTTATCCTTACCAATGTCTTGTTTGTTCCTCAATTGTCTCATAATCTGATATCTATTATCTACCTCACCAAACATCATGGCTATTGTGCCACATTTAAAGGAGATCTTGTTTCATTCACGCTGTGGACATGTACTCTCCACCTTTATCCTCCTGAAACGCCTTGATCTTACGTCCAAAGTGATTCTCAGCATAAGCCTTGAACACTTTGAATGCATTGAATGTACCACTCTTGCGCTTCAAGTGAATTGCACACTTGAAGCCAGTATGATCATCGATGAAGAGAACTCGATATCTCCAACCCTCACGGGTGTAGACTTTGAATTCCTTCAGATCAGAGTGTATCAAATCAAGAGGCGCTTCAGCACGATGTCCGGTAGAAGGGAATGGAGCTGCATTCAGCTTGCCTGTGAGACAAGGCTCACAAATCGGATCTTGCTTCTGGTTTGAAGTAATCTTCGCACCAGTCACTAGACCCTTGCTCAAGATCTTCTGAGTATCAGAATGATGACCAAGCCGACGATGCAGCAAGTTGTGATCAAGAGGCAAGGCGATGCAGCAAAGGCTGAACCAACAGAAGGAGTTGTAGCCTCTCTCACAAATGCCTGATTCCTCTCATCGATGTCTGCCTCAAACAGCAGCTCATTATCTCGACTGAAGGAGATCACAGATCCCTCCATGAGAATAGAGTAGCCATGAGTGCGAGATAAATATGTAGTGGAGATGAGATTGTGGGCAAGCCCAGGAACATACAGGACATTTGTGAGAATGATTTCTCGGCCACAGCGTCCATCAATGAGTGGTCTCAGCAGAATATCTCCCTTTAGCTCGGAGTAGACTATGACTCCATTTGCAACGGTGATAGGAACTCTGTATGGATGGGGATTCAACAAGCGCTCACAGCGCGAAGTCATGTGCGATGTGGCCCCTGAATCTGAGTTCCATCGTTCCTCTGCAACGAGCGAAGACAAATGGGGAATGATATCTGCATGAGAGGCAAAATGGGACGGAGCTGCTGCACCCTTTCTGCGAGGCTTGTCTTTTCCAATAAGCTTCAAGAACTGAAAGCATTGGAGAAGAAGATGATTAGGCCTCTCACAGAATGCACAAACGAGTGCAGGTGCTGCAGCAGGAGCAGGGGAAGGAGCGGATTGAGTAGCTGCTTTGGCAGGATCTGATCTGAGAGGCATAATGCGCAAAAGCTATAACCAACAAGTGGTGCCCTCAGGAGTGTGTGTGAATGAAAGTGTCCTGAATGTAGGTAGATAGCTAAAAGTCTAGCTGATACTAATGAACACCCAGTTGTAAGGCACTTTGGCCTTAAACCCAGAATCAACAGGATTGACTACCGTTTGTTTTCTGGTGTAATAAAGACTACCTCTCAAAGAGGATTTGTCCCAACAGTTGGTGTTCCTATTTACAAAAGGTCACACACACTATAAGGACTTGGAGGATGCAAAATGCGAAGCAGAATGCAAGGGGATGAGATCTCAGAAGTTTAGACTGCTCAAAGGCCGGGGCCCATAACCTGTTAGAACAGGCAGCACAGAGGACTGAAGTCAACAGTGAGAACTCTTGCATTATGATGTATGTACTAACAACATGCCTGAAGTCAACAGTGAGAACTGAGGACCCAGGTCTACACTAGGCTACTTATATACTGCTAGAACAATAAGAGCACTAGAACAATAAGAACAATAAGAACAATAGAGACAATAAGATCCTAATCAGATCTGTATCAAGACAATAAGATGTGTATCACAACAATAAGATGAATATCAGGGAAGCATAGGAGCAATAGAAAGCATGATGGAGTGATGTAATCAAGGAATCATGATGAACCAAAGTGTGAGAATGGTACAGTCCAACCACAGGCTTCAACACCGTGAGGAGACGTGTCCAGTCTGCACATGTGCGCATCTGCAACTCGTCGCGTTTAATGTGGTGTGAGATGTAGTAGATCATCAACATAGATAGGGAGGATGATGCGCGTAGTGCCATCGGAGTAGATGTAGGACGAGCGATCAGATTGGAGACACTGGAAGCCCATAGAGTAAAGCTTCATGTTCAGCTTCTTGTGCCATTGCCAGCCAGCCACTTATATATGTGCAGAGACAATACGGATGGCTAGAACAATAAGAACAATAGAACAATAGAGCTACTGTAACAATAAGATGTGTATCAACACAATAAGAACAATAAGATCTGTATCAACATAATAAGACCAGAATCAAGACAATAAGATCTGTATCAGGGAACATGGATTGCACTCAGAGTGCGAGAATGGATAAGTCCAAACACAGACTCCAACACTCCCCCAGGATGAGACCAGTCTCGCCTATCTCCCCCGCAATCCAATCTTGGAACGTAACAGATCCACAGTTGGACGGGGAAGCGCTTTGGTCAGAATGTCTGCAAGCTGGTCCTGTGTAGGTACATATTCAATATGAATAGAACCCTTTGCCACTTCATCTCTGAGCCAGTAATGAGCCAAGTCGAGGTGTTTCATACGACTATGATGCTCTGGATTCTTGGACACTGCAATTGCAGATTGATTGTCCATAAGAAGTGGAGAAGGTCCAGATGCAGGATATCTCAACTCCGACAGCAGATGGCGCACCCATTTCAACTCCTTGCCTGCCTCCACACCAGCAACATATTCAGCCTCAGTAGTGGAAAGCGAAACTGTGCTCTGCAGTTTGCTCCTCCAACTGACTGGACATCCACTCATCATGACCAAGTGCATGTGCAGAAGGATAAGAGGGACACTTCTGGTATCACAACGCGTCTCATCCTCCCCATCTACGTCGACGATGGCATGATCTCTGCAAAGAGCGATGCTGAAATTGACCGAGTTATTGCTGAACTTGGCTCTACTTTCAATGTCAAGGATCTAGGTCCCACAGAGTGGCTTCTGGGGATCAAGATTGAGCGTGACTCCGAGACTGGAGACATCTATCTTTCGCAGCGCCAATACGCTGTGAACATGCTTGAGCAGTATGGAATGTCCAATTCCAAGCCCGTTCGCACTCCGATGATTCCTGGTCTTGTTTTGACCAAGGAAATGGGTGCTCAGACTCCAGAAGAGGCCAGCAAGTATGGACCAATATACTTGTCTGCTGTTGGCTCTCTGATGTATCTGGCTACCCAAACTCGTCCTGATATCTCCTACACTGTCGGACTCCTTGCACGCTTCAATAGCAATCCCGGTGAAAAGCATTGGGGTGCTGTTAAGCATCTCATGCGCTACATCAATGGCACACTTGACTATCGCATTACATACCGAAAATCATCATCTGTACCACATCCCTTCACCACCTACTTCTCTGCATCGGACCCAGAGCCTGAGTCTCCTCTAGCAGAGTCTGCTTCGCCTTCTCTTGCTGTCTACTCCGATGCAGCTCACGGAGACTGCAAGGTAGACAGTCTGGCAAAAGCACAGGTGGTTACTTGGTGATGATGAATGGCAGTCCTGTTAGCTGGCGGATTCTGGAGAACAGCACATGGGATGTTGTGGATGCACCCCCTGGTGTAAAGCCCATTCGTTCACAGTGGGTCTTTATCATCAAGCACAAGTCTGATGGCTCTATTGAGCGATACAAGGCGAGACTCGTTGCAGATGGTCGTGGCCAACGTCATGGCATTGATTACAACGAGATCTTCTCCCCTACATTTAACTCCCTGTGTGTTTTCCACCACTTGCCAGGAGGTCTATGCTCCGTAGTTTGATTGTGGAAGCCGCGATGTGCAGCAATACCAACAGGTGAAGCTGCAGGAGGTGGTGAAGCAGAAGGCAATGGCAAAGGAGTATCCGGTGAAGCAGCCCTTGATCCGGGCAAGGAGCGTGGGTGGGAAGGTCCAGGAGATGCTGGAGGAGCAGGTGCATGATGCTGTTTGGGTCTGTCATCCTCCTCATCGATAACGACAACAGTGGGAGGATTGGGCAGCAAAGGCAGGCTGTGAAGTGCAGAGGAATCTATCCGAGGACATTTCCTCATCTGCTCAGCACTGCACCCTGGGAAGTAGCGTTCATCAAACACAGCTCGCTCTGAGATCACCATCTTGCGTGTCACTGGGTTGTAGAATTCCCAGGCCTTGTACTCTGAGGGATAACCCACAAAGATACACTTCTCAATATGGGAGCCAGAGGCATCCTTGTTTATCTTTCTGCACATGCACATAGGCAAGGCAGCCCCACACCTTAAGATGAGACACATCTGGTTTCTGCTTGTGCCAGAGCTCGTGTGGAGTAGTGTTTCCTCCAATATGAGCAGAGGGATGCATGTTGGACACGTGAATATATGCACCAACAGCAAGAGCCCTGAATGAAGCAGGGAGATTTGCTTCATGTAGCATTGCAGTGGTGTGCTCATCTATAGTACGATTGGCACGTTCTGCTGTCCCATTCTGTTGCGGTCGATTCCTGGTTGAATGGTGATGCACCTCAATGGTACCCTCAGATTCAGAGTCATCTGATGATGAGTTGCTATTGCAGCCAGGCAGTGCTTTTGTTGTTGCACATGAAGGAGATCCAATGAGCGAAACACTTCAGCAAGCAAACATTGCAGCTGTGCAGTCAGCGCAAGCTGCTGTCCAGTCTGGTCATCCTCGCACTTACTATGAGGCAATGAAACACTCTGATGCTCATTTGTGGAAGGATGCAGCTGTCTCCGAGATTAACTCTCTCTTGGAGAACTGCACTTGGGATGTTGTTGATCCACCTCCTGGTCCTGGAGTAAAGCCTATACGCTCTCAGTGGGTCTTTGTGATCAAACACAAGTCTGATGGGACAGCAGGCT